CTCTGTATATTAAACTTACGACTGCGATCTACAGACAGAAAAGAGGCAGAAAACTTCTTATCTTCTTGTCTTAAGTTTTCTCGGAGATCTTTCCGAGGAGATGCCGGATATAAGCTACTTTGTAGTTTTTCTTTGTAATGTCTACAGTCAAACGTCCTCTCTCCTTGGCGTTTAACCAGGAAAAAGCTGATGTTTTTATAAATGGCAATGGGTTAGATGGAAATCGTGAAATCATAGAAGTTGAACAACGAAAATATCTCGAATTACGCGCGTGTTTTCGAGTCGCGATCGTTTCTTTCCTAAACCTTTCTATCTTGTCGCGCTTCTTTCGGACGATTTCCTCCGCAAGCATACGATATGCGAGTTATGCTACAATCTTTTCGCGATTATTTAAATGTATTTGTCGCAAGACCGTCTTGCAATTTAATTGGATATCATTATATTATCAGACTAGTGTAAATAGTATAGATAGATTAACAGACTTTCAAAAAAAAAAGTTATGTGATACGGTATAAACATGAATTAAAAATACTTTTAGGAAGGACATCATAAAGTAAAGTCTTCGAATAAGAAGTTAACAAATTTTTGAGAGAAGTTGATGTTGCTATAATAAATCGATATCTATAATTTAATATTTATCTTATCAATAATATATTTATTATTCATATATACAGAATGTCCGGGTAATAAACATATCATCTTTTGTCACAAGACAAAAAGAACAGATATATGAATAAAAAAGTATCTTGTATTATGATTTTATGATTTTCGCAGTAATTGAAACGTGATGAATATAACGCACTAAATAATTACATTTTTTTAAAAATACTGTGAAAATATAACCATTTTTTAATTATATTAACAATGTTCTAATATACATGATTGAAAATCGTGATAAAACAGCGAAAGTAAATATCGTCGCTTTTATATTTTTTAAGAGAATAATGATAAATCATCGTTGTGTGAGAATAAATCATCGCGCTCATTCTACAATATTTAATAATTAATAACTCGTATTGCGAAAATCGCAACATAGTAAAGGACTTTTCTGCTTTATTTGCACAACAATGTAGATTTACTTTAGATATACTTTTTATCTTCATTAATAGTCAAATTGTACTTCCTACATCTAATAATTACAACTTTTAAGGTATAAGACAAAGCTATTGTTATTTAATGTATTATCGGTTTCAATATTTAATTCGAACTCTATATCATTACTGTTCGCTGAATTTATGAATTGCAATTTGTAATTAGAATTCGATAATGAGTATTATGTATAAAAAAATATTTCAATAATATATATTATTTGAATATTAGAATTTAAATGTCTGAATAATCGAATATTTATTCAAGAAATATTTACATTTGAATAGATTTGCATTCAAATAAGAATTTCAATAAATTATTAAACATTTAAATCCTAAAAAAGATAACGGATATAAATTAAATTTTGATAAATAATTAAATGAGAATATTTCATTCTGATATTTGTCCTGATATTTTATCATGTAATATATGTAATATATTAAAATTATAATATTTTGTTAAGTTACACATGTTAAAAACATAATCACGATTTTTAAATTAACAGTACATACATATTTAGTTTTTGATATGTATATTGTAAGAAAGTTTGATAAGTTAACATAATATAATAAGTAATATATTTGTTAAGTGAAAATACTGTAACATTTATAATATATTATAATATTTCTTTAAATTACATATGTTCAGTTCTTGATATATCGATAATAAACAAAATCTGTTTTGTTGATTTATGGAAAAAATATTACGAAAAAAAGTGTTTTTAACATTTACCAATAAATCTATTAATAATTCTCCGAAGAAATATCATGCTGTTAAAAACTTGTATTCTCTTCAGTCCCTATGTCTGTCTTATTATATTTGTGTTACTTCCTCTTACACTTTTATTTGTTTCTAGTGATTTGTTATGTATTTTGCGCAAATGATGCTCCTTCTATTCCGAAAAATATATTTATAGATTCATTGCAATATATTGTTCTCTTCTGTTTATCGAATATAAAATATT